TTTCATTAATGTAAGTTATACAAAGCTAATAATACCTCTAAAAATCAAACAACTTCTGCATCATTCTATAACTTAACTGGAAATTGATAATGTAACATACTTCCACAGTTCTAATTAAAATTAAAACAATTGCATATTAATACTGCTATGTAACACATAATAAAGTATGCACATCACTGCTTCTTCAAAATAATCAAAATACAAGCCTCCTCTGTATGCCAATCTGAGCAGCAAAGTGCGAAAACAAAATAATTACTCTGCCAATGAGTGAAAACAGTATATTTTACTTGAAACGAAACAAAAACACCTTTCCACAGCTGATTTCAAAACATAAATACTATTTTTACAGAACTAATACTAACAAGTCCCCTAGGTACTAAACAAAAATAAAGACTATTATGTCATGTTTTTATGCCTAAAATTCGTATCTATACAACTGTAACTGTTTGTTGTCATAAAGTCTTGGTGAAAGTCTGTTATTTTGAAAAAAAAAGGACAAATTATTATTAATTCCAAACAAACTTACAAAAAATGTTTGTGCAAAATACATTACATTTGTAGGAATGACTTCAGCAGAGCAATACACAATGGTATCAGTAGTAGGAACATGCTTATTAAAAGAAATTGGAAGAGTGTTAGAAACTTAGATACAAGCCTATTTTGAGTCTGAATTACTTCTCTCTCCTCGAATTATTAACTTTTGTAAAAACCTGTCAAAACGTTTGTTGTACAGATATATAGAGGTTGAGTACATTCTATTTCAATCATTTTGAAAATGCAACTCAGAATATTACATGACAACCAAAGCTGATATAAAGTTGCAGTGGAATGGCATATATCAGAACTAAATTTTAACACTGTTTGGTGCTCATAGGTAGTGTGATTTCATCAAAAATTTACCACTTTTGGGAAGGGTAAGTAACATTTCTTTTCCACCCAAAATATTCATACACTCAGATCATACAAATGTATTCATATCAGGATTCTTTATACCTAATGGTACTGAAAAATAAAAATATATAGATTAACTTGGTAAAATAGCACCATTCAGAAAGAGACCAGCAACATGTTATACCACAGCCAAGAAAAGCAAAGTAAGGCATACTGTAATAGTTGAGAACCTACAAACACAAAGGTCAGTGACAAAAACACATGCTCCTGGCAACAGTATGCAACATAATCAAGAAGGATTTTCACCTGGGAAAGTGACAAAAATCACGTGTGCACACAGTCATGTGTACAGAAATTGCTTCAAGACATATCCATTCAACCATCACATACCTCAAGCAGCTGAAGAATGAAATGGGTATTCATGCTATTCTATAAGAATACATACTGGAGAAAGAAATAGGCACTACATGAAGCATGAATGGGTGGTGTGCTTTGAACAAAACAGCCTTATAACAGAGCCTTTTGCAATGAAAACTACACTTCAGGGACTATTGTGATGATGCATGGTCATCAAATAGTGTATGACCAGATGTGGTGAGGCACCAAAATCATTTTAATATAACATACTCAACCAACTACACTGTACATGATGAGATGTAGAGTCTACTATAATCTTACTTGCTTTCTACAACACAGGACATCAATTTAGATAATTTCATTCAGTTCTAGCTCTAAAGGAGTTTAACAACTAAAAAAACTCAAATACACAATATTATAAATAGCATAAAAAATACATGCACTTATAATTAATTATAAATATCTCTTACAGTGTGAAAAACTTTCATGAAGTATCACGAAATGAACGTATCTTATTTTGTTGCAAATAAAGCTATATTAGTAATAAATTATGAAAGAAAAAAGAAAGACCTGTTTTAGTAAATTACCATTTAAAAACTTTCAAACCCTCACTCTCAAACCCAGATTACTTTTTAAGGGAATACAATTACAATGGTGTAAGGCTTTTTTCATGTCCTTTTTGATCCATCTAATAAGTAAACAATGTTATTTTTAAAATCTGATGTGTCATATAACAAGCTATTTGAACATAAAATTACCAATCACTGGACCAATTCTATTGGACAACACTACTACAAATATAAATAGCTGGAAGTATCCCCACAAAATATTTCCCAATTCTGTGTAATCCTGCATAGTGTTCACTCTTCTAGGTTGATCTTCATTTATAAAATTGAACAAATAATCATTGTTACTTGATCAAAAGTTGATTAGTCTTTAATATATATTGAAAAAAAAAGATAAAATAATACTAACTGTTATAATCAGGAAGTCAAAAATATTGGAAAATTAAATTAACTATGACTTTTAAAAAAAAATATGTATGTACTGCACAACAGAAGCTTTTTCCATATTATTCAGAAAAAACAATAACAATTGTATGAAAATAAAACTTTTGATAACTCAGCGTTATAAGTCATTAAATAGTGTTATAGAAAGGTCCTGAATAGAAAACTGATCTCACATCTATAAGTACTGCACTCCAACACCAGCTTACTCAAATACCCAAAAAGAATATTTCAAGAATTAGGGCACTTTGCTATTTGTCGCAGAAAAGGAATAAGCCTTTAATTATAAAAAACATAAAGTGCTCCTTTGTTAAGCCATACTTAAAGTTTATAATAATGAAGTTCACTTAAAATATGTACAAAGTCATGAAAATATGTTGTTGATTGATTAAAATCTTATTCAACAATAATATTTTTGACTGATTCCATCCAGCTTAATGGAAATTTCTATTTTTGTTATATTGTACAAAAATACAGTGTCATAAATTACTTCCTAACATTCTAATCTTTAAAAACAGCCTTTTGTTATTACACTATATAATATTTCTACAATCAAAAAACAAAAATCTTAACAAAGGAGCACTTTTATATTTTTATCACATGACTAATTTTGCAAAGGAGAAGACCACACCAAGAGTAACACATTTAAGCCTCTGGGACACCACAAATGTCTTATGATAATAAAAAGCTTATAAAAAATCTTTTAGCACTACTGCAAAACTGTGAAAGGCCTTTGTATAGTTATTATTCCTTGGAATATCATATCTGTAGAAGTTCAGAAAAAAATCTGTCCATTTCTCAGCTTGACCTGTGACTAACATCTGCATCAGGGAATTCAGAAGGCTTACTAATTCTTCCACTAGATACTTCTAATTCTAAACATGTTCGACGTCTAGGTGTGGTCTGCAAACTACCTCCAGAACAGGGAGAACTGGAAGAAAAAGGATCATCAGCAATTTGTGCTGTCTCATCCTCATCTGAAAATGTTTCTGTTCTCTCTGTAATTTCTTCTAAAATGTCCATACCTTCATGGAGACTTGTATTATCAACAGGAGCATCAGTTTCCACTGAACTACTCCCAATACTACTTGCCCTAGCAAACTTATAGTTTCCATATGTATAGCTAGTATAGGGCTGTACTAACTCTTCTGGATAGTGATTAATTTCAAGAGAAACAGATTCAACATAATGGACTTCTGATTCGCTATCTTCCTCTTGAAAAGCGAGATTTTCTTCAGATAAGAAAAGATGTGTTTCTTGAAGCTGGGAGTCACTTAATTGATGCATTTCTTCAGAGCTAGTGCTGTGGGTTGACTGAATTGCTTCTCCTGTAGAAGAAGTGTCACTATGGTTTTCATCATCTTGACTTGATGTGTCTGCTTCAAACTCAGAATCATTTCTCATGGAAAGTTCTCTACTACCATTCCCACATGTACTATTTTCTAATTCATCTAACATTCCAGCAGCCTCATCAAATTCTGACTGCGAAACTTCTATTATTGTTAGCATGCTTTCAGAACTCTGGGTTGGAGCATCTGAAAGAATTTCTCCCTCCAGACCAGAAGGACTTTTTGCTGGCAATTCAATACTTTCTAAGCTGTATCCAAGCTCATCTAAAAATGTATCTTTCTCACTGAACATAGACTTGCTAGATTCTTCATCTTTACACACATCTGAATTTTCAACTAGTGTTGTCTCGTTTACAATATTAAGACTTTCTTCTTCCACAACAGCATTCAACTGCTCACTCAACTGTGATATAGAGCCCTTGAAGTGTCCAATTTCTTCATAAATGGCTGCTTTATCCTCCTCCTTATTCACTAGTGCAGGTACAGAAGATGACAAAACCTTTTCTAAAGTACTTTCTTTCGTACCCTCAGCTAACAGGTCTAGCTTTCTTTTTGAGTCAAGATTATATGCTGTCAGATCACTACCAAGAGAATCAGATAGTTCAGTGTGTTCTTGAGAAAATGACTTATTTACTATAATGATATTTTTCTTTTTGTTCTCTGGTCCTTCGTCTGCTTTTTCCTGTTCTAAAACACCAAATGCATAGTCCTTTCTTTTCATCACTGGGGAGCCACTTGAACTTCTTATATTTTTAAAGTCCTTTAATACTTCTCCCAGTGTTTCTCCATCAATTGAATCATCCTGACATGAGAAACTTCCCACAGCAGGAAGCTGATTGATACATACAACATCAACTGAACGGTTTCGTGAAGACCTAGGAGAGTTACCACTATCACGACTACTACTGCTGGATGAGCTTAATTGATGAGCACGAGAATATAGCTTTGGGCTATGATGAATATTAGCATGTTCTCTTTTAACTTTCAGGCGTGATCGTCTAGGTTTTCTAATTTTTTGTTTTTTTTGTTGTGTTTCATCTGTACGTAAGTGGCACCTGTGTAGTATGTAAGTAATCTCACCATTTTTGTTAGTTCCTCTCTCATGATCTCCCCCTCTGTAAACAATTTCCCCATTAACTAAGGTGTTCCCCATTTTAGTTTCTCCAGTGATTACTGGTACTACTGCTTTCTCACCCACCTTATCATCTGCATCAGATAAATCTTCTGAACTATACCCAATAATACCTTTAACATTATTGTCTGCAGTATTAAACACAGCAACATCTTTCTCTTATATCATCCTCTGAACTAAACCCAATATTATCATTATCTATGTTATCCTCTGACCTGTACTCAACATTACCTTTTTCACCATTTTCCCCAACCTTATCTTTACCTACAATATGTTCCTCTAAATGATATGAATCATGTGATAGGTTATCATCAGTATCATGGCCTATAGCATCAGGACTGTACAAGCCATCTTTGTCATATTCAAAGTCAGGGGACTCCAAACCTGAAGAAAAATCCCTCTGCCTGGCTGGCCTCTCCTTCTCTTCACTGTATACTGTCCCGTTGATGGCCATTCGTTCAGGTTCCTGGATGGTTCTTGGAGAACTTGGCTGAGAAGCAGAGATGGGCCGGGGCTCTGATGCAGTGAAAATGGGCCCGCTGTCATTCAGGGCCACAGAGCCACAAGATTGGCTACTGGTGACAGGAAGGAGTGGCTGGCCCAAAACAGAATTTCCTACACTTCGACGAGACGTGCTCGGGATCCGGAGGCTAGTGGATCTGCTGGGAACAGGGGCATGTAGGGTTAAAAAAAGATCATGTCAGTAAATGTCATCATACGAATAGAAGGATAAATTACTCGTGAACAAAATCTTAAAAATACAAATTAATTCTAATACTATCTAAAAACTTCTTATTAGTTTTCATGCAGATAATTAAATTTCTTTCAAAATTTCATGCATTCTACATCAGAAGTCAATCTATAATTTAATGCCATATATATATACATGCTTTCTATTTTGTAAAATATTTAACAAAGTTTTTGTATATTTTTATATAATATGTTTAATATTAATTCCAAAAACTCATATTCATATATAAGACATATAAGTGTCAGTAAACCATTTTATAACATAATGTCATGAAATAATGAAGAATTCAAAAAACATGATCAACTTACAAAAACTGGAGTGAAAATTACAAATGTAATCTACAATCTTAAGTGAAGGTTAGAATACAGTACCATCATTCTCCATTATATACATATATATATACTCAAGAAGACAGCTTCAATTTGGCCTAACCAATCTTTCATTACCTTTCACTCATTTCTTAGAAGACAGCACAAGTTTCATGCTTTACATAGATGTCCATATTTATTCATTTCAGAAAATGGAAATAAATGTAAAGAAAAAAAGTAAACCTCATTTTTGATTAGTACACTTCTGAAGGTATCAAATTGTTGTGTTTACAAAATCGAGAGTAAAATAATCCATTCTTCATTTTTTAAAACAAAATATTTTGTCCAACTGTAATTGAACAATATATCACATGTTACAAAAAAACATTCTTAAATGTTTATCACAGCTGATAATTTTTTTATTTTTATTGTGAAATAATAAGCAACATGTTTAACTCATTAAAAAAAAAAAACAATTTCTATGACATTAAAATTTTAATTCTTTTGAAATGATAAAAGTTACCTGTATTAAAAAAGAGAAATAAAGAAACAAAAATAAAGGTGTGCAAACATAAAAACATGGATATCCTACCTTTGAAATGGTTGACGTTTGACAAAGTTTTCCCGCACAAATTCTGTAATCTGTTTTTGCGTTCGACCGCTATAACTATATAGATGTAGTGCTAATTAGTATCAGTAGGAAAAAATATCAAGGCAGTTTAATGACCCTAAAGTGGTTAATCTAGTAAATAATATACCAAAAAAACTGAATAATCTAATATAAGAAACTGACCCATTCAAGTAAGATGCACAAATTAAAGTCTTTATGGCTTAATACCTTTTCTAATTTTTAAGTTTAATCATTCTGAACATTTATATCTAGTAAAAACTGCACTATAAAGATATGTTAGTATTTGCAATAAAAATCATATAAACTGCAAATGATTTTTCTCCCAAATTTCTCTTAAATTGTGTTTCAGAGGTGTGTAAAAATAACATTTAAAATTTATCTTTTGTCTCCCACAAACCACTGTCCAAGAGGCTTTTCATTAAGTACTAGAACTTGTTAATTGAAGTTGGGCTGGATGATGATGAAATGTTATTTACAGATGCAGTATAATACCTTAAAAGTTATAATTTAAACAATGAAAGTTGAAGCATTAGAAACCAGTAGATCTAAATTCTGTGATAAAAATCACATAAACTCCAAAAGATGTTTTTTTTTTTTACACATTCCTTTGACTAGCTGTGGTATTGATACTTTTACACTCCTCTGATTTTGAATTCAAAATGGACAAATCAAGAGGAATATGAGGGAAAATATTTTGCATTACATTATTTTTATTAAAAATTTTAGGCACAACAGTATTTAACAGTCAAACTACTTGTAACAAAAAATAAAAGTTCATTCTACCAAAAAATACACTTCAACTATGAAGAAATTTTAACACTAATGGTTAGTGTTATGAATCATTGACATCTCAATTAAAAGTTTTATGTCTAATAGTTGATAACATTATCTTTAGCTCTTGAAATTTACCTGAAGTACATTAACTTCAATAATAGTTATCTTAAATTATATTACTTAAATATATAAAAAAGCCCACACAGATCTTGAAAGTCTTGTATATTAAATATATGTGGCCAACATAATGAGCATCTGAGTAACGCTTTCTAAACAAGGCTTACATTACAATAAACTAAATAACTAATACCACATTAAAATAAATATATACAAGTATTAACCCTATCTCTATGGGTCTTCCTATGGTCACAGATCAAAGGCCATGTCATCTTGTTTGTAGACTCCCATTAAAAAATTTTATTGAACAGTTATTTTATGAATGTATATCAATAAGTTTGGTATCAAACTGTAGATTATAATT